GACTATATACAAGAACACATGGCGCAGCAGGGCGGACGTAAGCCTCTCAGCGTTTGTCAATATAAAACTATAAAACTGCTAGATTTTGCCCACCGACAACATCAAATAGCACAGCTTGAACAGCGAGAAATTTGAACGACTCAAAAAGAAAAATATATCTCAAAAACTTTTGTAGACTTTTGTGACTTGATTTACAGTGATCTTTAAAAAAATCGCACAATTTGATCTTGACATTAATTCATCAGTTTCTTTTAAGCTCTGACGTCAGCTGGCTTTTATTTGTGGTTGTGATTAAGAACAAAAAAAAACATTCTTAGTTTCCTACTCAAGTTTCTACTCGAAATGCGTTTTTCATTAAATTATTGATTGTATTTGCTTAATGAGTGTAAATAAACCAGCAAAAGTATAAACCAACTAAAAATACGCAGAGTTTGTATATGAACCAGCCGAATGGTTACGTCATATGAATGAACTTTACATGGCGTTCATAACTGTTGCATAATTGTTACAAAGCTATTATATAACAAACTTCTATTTGTTATATACAAACTTCTATTTTTGACTTCTATTTTCAACGCAGTTAAAAACAAACTTCTATTTTTGGCTGGCTTACATGGTAGCTTGGTTTATCCTTATGCTACGCGCCTTTTTGCTCAATTATCCACCGAGGCTCCGTAGAATGTGCAAGATTTCTATGACCAAGGTTTTTGTGCGATGGACTTCAATTAAGAGAATGTTGATCTGTGTTGTTCGTTATGATGAGTAGATATCGAGACAATTCGAGTTAATGATGATCATTTGCGGGCGGAATTCCTCATATGCAAAGGACCGAATGCGCGAAAACAAAAATCAGCCAATCAGACTTCAGTAATCTTAAATTTGAAAGTAAGTAAACATTTCCAGGGACTCAATATTGAAATTGGCCGAATATAAAAACTGCAGAAATATGCAACATTTTTAAATTGCCTCTGACAGCCGCCGTATTGGAGCAAAATTTTTATTTCAAGGTTTTCGTTATGAAAAAAGCAAAATTTTGCTTCATTTATTCATTTTATTTGAATGGAAGTTGCCTCTTTTTAAAAATTGACTTTCGGCTAATTTTGTTTACTGTCCTTCACCCACGAGTTTTTTCGCTCATTCGGTCCTTCGCGCAATAGAAAAGCCCCAACATTTGCGATGAAAAACGTGTTATTTTACAACACTCACTCATGAAAAACGTGAGTTTGCAATTCTCTTTTGTTCGCTAAAAATATAGTGTTTGACTATATACAAGAACACATGGCGCAGCAGGGCGGACGTTAGCCTCTCAGCGTTTGTCAATATAAAACTATAAAACTGCTAGATTTTGCCCACCGACAACATCAAATAGCACAGCTTGAACAGCGAGAAATTTGAACGACTCAAAAAGAAAAACATATCTCAAAAACTTTTGTAGACTTTTGTGACTTGATTTACAGTGATCTTTAAAAAAATCGCACAATTTGATCTTGACATTAATTCATCAGTTTCTTTTAAGCTCTGACGTCAGCTGGCTTTTATTTGTGGTTGTGATTAAGAACAAAAAAAACCATTCTTAGTTTCCTTCTCAAGTTTCTACTCGAAATGCGTTTTTCATTAAATTATTGATTGTATTTGCTTAATGAGTGTAAATAAACCAGCAAAAGTATAAACCAACTAAAAATACGCAGAGTTTGTATATGAACCAGCCGAATGGTTACGTCATATGAATGAACTTTACATGGCGTTCATAACTGTTGCATAATTGTTACAAAGCTATTATATAACAAACTTCTATTTGTTATATACAAACTTCTATTTTTGACTTCTATTTTCAACGCAGTTAAAAACAAACTACTATTTTTGGCTGGCTTACATGGTAGCTTGGTTTATCCTTATGCTACGCGCCTTTTTGCTCAATTATCCACCGAGGCTCCGTAGAATGTGCAAGATTTCTATGACCAAGGTTTTTGTGCGATGGACTTCAATTAAGAGAATGTTGATCTGTGTTGTTCGTTATGATGAGTAGATATCGAGACAATTCGAGTTAATGATGATCATTTGCGGGCGGAATTCCTCATATGCAAAGGACCGAATGCGCGAAAACAAAAATCAGCCAATCAGACTTCAGTAATCTTAAATTTGAAAGTAAGTAAACATTTCCAGGGACTCAATATTGAAATTGGCCGAATATAAAAACTGCAGAAATATGCAACATTTTTAAATTGCCTCTGACAGCCGCCGTATTGGAGCAAAATTTTTATTTCAAGGTTTTCGTTATGAAAAAAGCAAAATTTTGCTTCATTTATTCATTTTATTTGAATGGAAGTTGCCTCTTTTTAAAAATTGACTTTCGGCTAATTTTGTTTACTGTCCTTCACCCACGAGTTTTTTCGCTCATTCGGTCCTTCGCGCAATAGAAAAGCCCCAACATTTGCGATGAAAAACGTGTTATTTTACAACACTCACTCATGAAAAACGTGAGTTTGCAATTCTCTTTTGTTCGCTAAAAATATAGTGTTTGACTATATACAAGAACACATGGCGCAGCAGGGCGGACGTTAGCCTCTCAGCGTTTGTCAATATAAAACTATAAAACTGCTAGATTTTGCCCACCGACAACATCAAATAGCACAGCTTGAACAGCGAGAAATTTGAACGACTCAAAAAGAAAAATATATCTCAAAAACTTTTGTAGACTTTTGTGACTTGATTTACAGTGATCTTTAAAAAAATCGCACAATTTGATCTTGACATTAATTCATCAGTTTTTTTTAAGCTCTGACGTCAGCTGGCTTTTATTTGTGGTTGTGATTAAGAACAAAAAAAAACATTCTTAGTTTCCTACTCAAGTTTCTACTCGAAATGCGTTTTTCATTAAATTATTGATTGTATTTGCTTAATGAGTGTAAATAAACCAGCAAAATTATAAACCAACTAAAAATACGCAGAGTTTGTATATGAACCAGCCGAATGGTTACGTCATATGAATGAACTTTACATGGCGTTCATAACTGTTGCATAATTGTTACAAAGCTATTATATAACAAACTTCTATTTGTTATATACAAACTTCTATTTTTGACTTCTATTTTCAACGCAGTTAAAAACAAACTTCTATTTTTGGCTGGCTTACATGGTAGCTTGGTTTATCCTTATGCTACGCGCCTTTTTGCTCAATTATCCACCGAGGCTCCGTAGAATGTGCAAGATTTCTATGACCAAGGTTTTTGTGCGATGGATTTCAATTAAGAGAATGTTGATCTGTGTTGTTCGTTATGATGAGTAGATATCGAGACAATTCGAGTTAATGATGATCATTTGCGGGCGGAATTCCTCATATGCAAAGGACCGAATGCGCGAAAACAAAAATCAGCCAATCAGACTTCAGTAATCTTAAATTTGAAAGTAAGTAAACATTTCCAGGGACTCAATATTGAAATTGGCCGAATATAAAAACTGCAGAAATATGCAACATTTTTAAATTGCCTCTGACAGCCGCCGTATTGGAGCAAATTTTTTATTTCAAGGTTTTCGTTATGAAAAAAGCAAAATTTTGCTTCATTTATTCATTTTATTTGAATGGAAGTTGCCTCTTTTTAAAAATTGACTTTCGGCTAATTTTGTTTACTGTCCTTCACCCACGAGTTTTTTCGCTCATTCGGTCCTTCGCGCAATAGAAAAGCCCCAACATTTGCGATGAAAAACGTGTTATTTTACAGAAAGTTTATGATTACTTTCTGTGTTGGTTTAGTTATCTTTGTAAAAAGCAGCTCCAGTTTTGAGAGAAAAACTATATTTTTTGCTGAGATGCTTTAATGAGGATCCGTGGTGTTGTTTGTTTCATTGCAGTACCTCCAAAATTCTCGCTCCTTTAGTGTTTGGTCTACTCTTACAATTTGTAATTTCACTTACCTTGACTTCGTATTTCCTTCTTTGTTTTTTTGTTTCGCTAAATAAATTCCGCGGCCCAAATTATTTCGGCCTATTTTTTAGCGACTTAATGACCTAATTTTGGATCATTTCATTGGAAACACAATTTTAACTCTCCCCTCCGCTCATGGGCGGATCTAGAGTTTTCTCGAGGAGGGAAAGGTTTTTTGAAAAATTTTCAAAAAATTTGACTTTTTTTAGGTCGTCCAAATTAGTTTTCCGAGCTCTCCGAGGCATTAAAAAGACCCTGTTTGGCCAACTTTTCTGCGCCGCGTTTTTGGGCACTTTTTGGAAAATTTTGACTCTTTGGGTCGGCAGGGGGTCCAATCCCTGAGGGTTGATGGGGCGTCCCGTCTGTTGAATTTTTTTTTTCGTTATGGAAAATTATTTCCGAATGTATTAGAGAAAATATCAATTTTTCTCCGAAACTTCTACTGATTTTCAGAAAAGGGTATCAATTGAAAGATTGCCCACTTTCCAGAAAAAAGACTAGTTTATCAACGTAGTTCGTGCAAATTGTATTCTTAAACAGGTCAATTCAAAAATCAAATAAACGGGAAATTTGAAGAAAAAAAAACAGATTTTTTGGGACTGAAAAGTAGCATAAAATCTTAGCACCAAATCTTTTTTATCATTGGCTTTCGTATCTCAAGGTCGGTCAGATTTTCTCGAAAACTAACATTTCAAAATGGCTGTGATAATTTTAAATCAAATAAAGCTTTGAAAAGTCGCAATTGGTAAAGAACCTTACAAGCGATTAATTGGTTTGTGTCGAAAGTTACTAACTTTTTCTAAGATATCTGGATAAGGACTATCTATTGACATAAAAACGCAACATCTTTATCCAACTATTTTAGTTTGTAGTTTTATTCCCAGCATCTCTAGTGAACTCAAAGAAACGAAAAGCTTTCAGTTAAAATTTCGAATCTTATTATGATGATTTCGCTATAGATGAAAGTAATTTTGCTTTTTTAAGGTTTTTCTAATTCAGCATCAAAGGAAGGTAATGAATATTTAACTGTCACCCGGTTTCCATCTTATTTATTAAGATCATTAAGAGTTATCTAAGATCATTAGTCTTAAGGCAGGAGCATGTTCTTTGTGTAAATTGAAAAGAGTTTTTCTGACTACTTTGACGCATGAAAAATTCCCTCCAATAGAAAGATATGGATGATCGAAGTATAGAGTTCACCACCATCAAAAAAATTCAGCTACTGAGGCTGAGGCGACATTTCCTGTTCCTCGTGATCAACGAATCCGTAGTTAGGATAGTGCCGACAGAACTCATTCTGGAACTCCATGAAAGACACTCCCGAGTCCTCCAAGGCACTCCACTCCTGATGATTCTGCTGCCCGGTTCCCCCGTTACTATTGTTGTCGTTTGAATTAGTGTTGTTATTGTAGCTATTTTGGTTATTGTTGTAAATCTGGTTATTGTTGTTGTTGTTGCTTAGGGGCGTTGCCCTGGGATTGTGGTACTGGTCTACTTGGATCTGTCTCTCATTTTCACCTCCGGCTGTGGTCTGGGTGCTCACTGGAGTCACTGCTCTAGTCTGATTTCGTTGACTGAAAACCAAACACAAGCATGCATGCAATCAAAAAATGACAATAGTCGACAACAGTTGAAATAAATATTGCCCGTCAACAAGAAGAATGAGGCATCAAATGTCAAAATTAGAAATGTCGCGGTTACTGGAAAAAAATTGATATTTACGCTTGCGATTCGCAAGCGTTATCAAATCGGAGTACAGATTTTTTTTCGGGTTAACAACTTGTTGAGCAGACCGCTTGAATAACTTGTATCTTAGTTCATAATGAATTCAAACTTTTATGCGTCTCCAGCAATTAGCCTGGAGGTGACAAATACGCCTGGGACGGCAAAATTTGTGGGTCTGAATCCGACCAGTTGCCGCTTGTTATTTAATTTTTGAAATTTCAATTAACGCCGTCGAATGTGTTTTGGACATGTTTTCCGAAAGCAGAACATGATTCCAGACACCATTTTGATTTTTTTTTGAGTCCAGGTTTTTTGAAAATCTTTCATTTATTTCGAATTCAATGGCTTCTTTCCTGTCTGCTAGTTATAAATTCAACTTCAGTCAATTAGATGGAGCAACTCGTTTAGAGGCAACACATCTGCTTGAGGCGGCAAAAAATTGTGATTTGCATCCGGACGGGGCCTTTTGTTGCAAACTTGAGTTTTCGTAATTTTTTGGAATCGTTCGTCTAAATGTTTTCTTGCCTTAGTTCCCGTAAAACTTTTTTTCGATAGTTCCGCTTTTTTTCGAAGTTTCTGTAAGACCCATACTTGACTTCAAAGCTCGGCATTTGGATTCCAGTCGGTACTTGTTTTTTGCAGCTCCTTGTACGTTTTTAATGAAGGTTTTTGAACGATTTTTGAAGGTTCTTATTCAAGACAAGTTGGTGATCATATCTTGAATGTCACTTTGTTGAAGTCAAATTTATTACTCATTAGTTAGGAACAAATCATGCTATTATTAAAAGATTTTACCGCATTTTTCTTTAATTCACGTGAGACAATTCATGTCATGAATATCCTCGGGGGAGGGAGATCTTATTTGGAACCGAAGGGGAAGGAGTTGAGCCAAGTTTTTTTTTTTTTGTTGTTGTTGTAAAACAATTAAAGTGGTCTTAAATCTTCTTTTTTGGGGTTACGAGGGCAAGTTTCACCGCTGGTCTCGTTAAAGTACCTAGGGCTGTTTTCAGTTTACAAGAGCGCGCGATGCCATCCGAGCCGGTAAAAACTTCTAACACTCGACCCAGTGGCCAGATGCCTCGTGGTGTAAAGTCCTCAAGTATCCACACGAGGTCATCCTTTTCGAGTGGTTCCTCGGGTTGCGTCCATTTAGTCCTTCTGATGAGAGTCGGAGCGTACTCTTTAAGTAGACGCCTCCAGAAGCTGTCAAGTCTATCTTTTGCTCGCTTCCAGGACTTGTTGGACAGTTTACTGGTAGATGCTTCGTAGAAGGCTGCTGCTGGAGCGTAGACGAATGGACGACCCATTAAGAAGTGGTTGGGTGTCAGTGGAAGGTCGTCGTCAAGGTCGCTACTGACATGAGTTAGCGGACGTGAGTTGAGGATTGCCTCGGTCTCGGCTACGATAGTAGCAAATAGATCTCTTGATAGTCGATCAGAACCGAGATTTAGTAAGAATGCTCGTTTTATCAATGAAACGAGTCGCTCCCACACGCCGCCAAAATGTGGGGCAGCCGGAGGATTTAGGCGCCATTCAACATTGTGGATTTGTAGCGTTTCAGTTAGGGTGGTTTCGTTGAAGTTGTTTGGTTCTGAGCGTAGTTGTTTACGCGCGCCGACGAAGTAAGTAGCGTTGTCAGAGATCAAAAGCTTAGGTGTGCCCCTCCTAGCAATAAAACGTCTAATTGCCGTTATACAGTTGTTCGTAGTAAGGTTGTCTGTCGATTCCAGGTGAACCGCGCGAGTAGAGAGGCATGTGAAGAGGCAAATATAGCTTTTTTCAGTTGTATCCTTTGTTGCTATGTAGAATGGCCCGATATAGTCAATTCCTGTGTTTTTGAACGGAAATGGGTCGTCAGACGGATCGTCGAAACGAGCGGGCGGTAAGTCGGCCATGACTGGATGTAGCCCTTTGCCTTGGAATCTTCTGCAGAGAAAGCAGTTATGTCTTATCTGTCTGAGTTTTTTTCGGAGCCCAATAATGACAAAACTTTGTTGCAGGTAGTTGCGAATGTACTCAGTGCCGTGGTGCATGCAGCGGCGATGGGCGCTCTCGATCATCATACGCACAATTGGGTCCTTTGCGTTAAGAATTATTGGATACTTTGTTGCGTCCGGTAAAGGTGAGTTTCGTAGTCGTCCTCGCGCGCGAATAACACCGTTGTCGAGAAAAGGTGACAGCTGTTGCAGTTTGTCTTTGTTTTGAACTTGTTGCTTGGTTCGTAGTTGATTGTAGGTGTCGCCAAAGGTTTCTTGCTGGGACTGTTGATAAAGGAGGAGCTTAGCTTTTTCTAGGTCTTCCATAGTGGTGGGACGTTTGCCGTTTCCCTTAAGTGTATCGACAAAAACTATAACCCGAGCTGTGACCTGAACTAATCGAAACCAATCTGAAAACCTGGAAGAATCGATTAAGGGTGTAGCTGAGGGGCTAACCGTTGTAGCATTACTTTGTTCCATTATTTCGTTGGTCCCCCAAATAGGCTCATTGTTGAGTAGAAATTGTGGTGCATCCAGCCAGAGTTTTGCTACGTCTTTAAGTTCAATTCCTCGTGTAGCACTGTCTGCTGGGTTGAGTTTACCAGGTATGTGTTTCCATTGTTCGGCTTTGCATAATGTAAGTATTTCACCAACTCTGTTTGCGCAGTAAGTTTTCAGTTTACCAGGTGAAGCGATCCAGGACAAAACAGTAGTGCTATCCGTCCAAAAGTGAGTGGAGTGGGGCTTTAATCGCATTTCATCAGTAGCGAACTTGCATAGCCGAGCACCCATAAGGGCGGCTTGTAATTCCAGTTTAGGAATGCTCTCTTGATTCAGTGGTGCTACCTTGGTTCTGCCAATCAAGAAAGTAGCGTGTATGCCAGAGCTACAAGCAGTTCGGAAGTAGATGCACGTAGCCATTGCGTCTTGCGACGCGTCGCAGAAAACATGAAGCTGTATATCACTAGGTGACAGCTGTGGACCAAGTAAGCGCGGCAGTCTAACAGGGGGTACTTGTTTGCATTGGTCAACCCATTTGTCAATTATCGGAACAAAGTCACTGGGCACTGTTTCGTCCCAAGAGATACCAGACTTCCACAAGTTTTGCAGAAGAATTTTGAGCTTTATGACAAACGGCGCTAGGATGCCTAAGGGGTCGAAAACCCTTGCTACTGTAGAAAGAACTGTTCGGAGTGTAGATGATGTAGTATTATTTAGATTGGTTGTTGGTTGCACGAACATCGTATCGTCAGTTGTGTCCCATTTGACACCCAGAACACGATGCACTGTAGCAATAGTAGAAACTTCGCCTCCATCAAGGGAGTAGATCGCGTCATTAGTGTTAGATACGAACTTAGTTAGGTTGAATCCCCCCTGTCTTAGGGAGGATTTTAGTTGCGTAGTAGAGTCTCTAGCCTCGTGTGTCGTGTTGAACGAGTGAACGAAGTCGTCCATGTAAAAGCTTTTGTGAAGCAGTTGAGCAATACTGGGTTTGGTTATGCAGTAGTCGGCAGCTGTTTGATGAAGCGCAAAGATGGCAATGGATGGTGAGCATTTTGCACCAAAGATAAGTCGCGTGTATTGGTATTGTTTGATACCATTTTTAGTAGGCCAAAGGAACCGAAGCGCATTTTGATCTTCATCTTTAATACCTATTTGCATAAACATACCTTCAATATCCGCTGATACAGCCACAGGTTTTTCCCGGAATCGTAGTAGAAGTCCAAACATGTTGTTCAGGAGGTCAGGTCCAGTTTCGAGGCAAGAGTTCAGCGAGACGCCTTTGTACGTTGAGGCGGCATTGGCCACTCTGCGTACCTTTCCGGGCTTGTTTGGATTAGTTACAGGGTGATGTGGGAGGTACCAAAGTAATTCAGGTTGCGGGTATTGGAAAGTAACGGGCTTGACGTAGTTATTTTCCAGGTCGGTAGTAAGCGATTTTTCATAGAGTTGCATGGTTTCAGGGTCTTTTCTGAGCCGTTTTTGTAGCGATAGCAGTTGAGCTTTAGCTACCGGATAATTGTTTGGCAATTTTATTTCGTTTTTCCAGAGCAGATTTATTTTGTAGCGATCTCCATCGTGCTCAATACTTTTTTCCATAAATCTTAGTTGTCGTTTGCTTTTATCAGAGTATGTAGCTTTGTTATCTTCCTGGATGCCTGATCCTTCTACTTTCCAGAAATTTTCCACTAATTCAGTGAGATTAGCGTCTTCTTGATCATTTAAGTCAATGAAGTTAGTTGAGTGTGAACTTGGTCCGGAACTATTAGATTTCTGGTTGAGTGGGCCAGTGATCGTCCAACCTAGTAGGTTTTTTACAGCGTAGGGGGTGCCTGTAGGACCTTTTCTGATATCGCGCTCCGCAATATTCCAGAAAGCATCTACGCCAAGCAAAATTTGAACTGTGTTGTCGCCTAGTTCAGGAAAGTTGACATGTCGAAGGTGATTGTAGAGTGAGCACGTTTTGTTAAGGTTGTTTGCGTCGATAGCGTCAAAACTCAGAGCTTCAACTGAATAGACTGATTGTAGGGTGAAAGTAGGTTTTGTAGCGTTATGTGGTCCGATACTAAGCCGGACCAGCGAGGAAGACACTTTGTCCTTACTGAAAGCACCTCGTACGCTAAGCTGTAGTTGTTGGCTTGGTTTGCACTGAAGTGTTTCAGCTGTTTTGCTGACGATATATGAGCAGCTGCTGCAGTTGTCGAGTATGGCGTAGCAATCTAGTTTGATGCCATTGTTAAACAGTGTTACCGGCATAAACTGTAACTGATTTCTGATGTTGTTCATATTTTGGATTGGATCTTCAGCTTGTTCCGAGGGCTTGGTTACTGTAGTGCCAAGCTGCATGTTATTTGATTTTTGGTTGTGCGTTTGAAATGGTTTTTTGTCGATGTGTAGAGTTGAATGGTGTTTCCCTCCGCAGTTGTTGATGAAACATCGCTTGGACGATGTGCATTCACTAAATCTGTGTTGGCCTAAGCAGTTGAAGCACAGCTTATGTTGCTTCACCAGTTCTGCCCGTTGATCTACGGGAAGTTTCAAAAAGTCCGGACATTTTCCAACATAGTGAACTTGGTTATCTATTGGACATGTTAAAGTTGTTGGTCTTGCTGATATTCCTGAAGATTTGTCGTAGTTTTGCCTGGACATAGAAGTAAATTGGTTGGGTCGGCTGTCGGGTTGTTGTTGCTTTATAGGTTGGCGATTTCGTCCCGCTTGGTTTGGAGTCGACGGCTCTATGTCCAGGTTCTCGCATGCTCGCGAGTAGTTATTGAGGTACTGCGTCAAGTCTTTGAGTGTAGCATAATCGAGATCGTGCAGCACGCAGTGTTCTTCCCACTTCATTAGTAGACTTACTGGGAGTTTTGATCGAGCAAGTCGGGTCAGGTTACTAGAATTTAGATCAGCGGTGTAGCCGTTGAGTTCGAAATTGTGGATTAGTTTCCGTAGGAAAGCAGCGTATCTTATAAAGCCCTGTGGTTCGCTTAGTATCAATTTGTCAAATTTTTCAAGTTCCCTGATGAACGCTGACACCACATATTTTGGGTTACCGTATCTACGCACTAATTCAAGTATTGCCTGTTCATACTGAGAAGAATTGGTTCCGTAACTCTCTATTAGAGATTTAGCATTATCAGTGCAAAGTGACTGCAAGTAAGTTATTTTTTCAACCGGGCTTAGGCGTGGGTTGTTGCCAATCGCAGTCTGGAAGAGTTCGAACCAGTTGTTCCACTCCAGTGGGTTGCCGTCAAACTTTTGTAGTTTTATATCTGGTAATTTGAATCCTTTCAAACTGTAGTTGATGGCAGTGGTCGGATGACTGGTAGTGTGGTTGGTGACGTGTCTTTGTTCATTATCGAAAAGGCTGTTGCGTTGTTGTTCGTGTGATTGTAGGATAGTCCTATGATGGTCGTTGAAGCGGTTGGTAACGAACTGTTCAGATGTAGTAGCAGGACTATTTGCAATTGAAGTTGTTAGCAGACCATATCGGTTATTGCCAGTTGACATCTGGGCTTCGTGTCTTGAGTTGTCGTTCCAAATGTGATTTTCATTGGAAACTGGTGGAGGCGAGAAGTTGTATCGTAGAGGAGCTTGAAAGTTGAAAGTACATGGGTTTGCAGACGGTGAGACTGATCTGAAATCAGTTGTAGAAGTAGTGATGACACCGTTGATTGTCTGATCCATAGCTCTGTTGGTTCCCGGTAGAGGTGGGAAACTGTAGCGTTGGGGAGCGTCTAAGTCGAATGTACTCAAGCCGTATGTGGATGTGTAAGTTGAGAAGTCGGCAGCCGTAGTACTGATGAAGTTGTTGGCCAAGCTTTCAGTAGTATTTGAGCTTCTTACTGGTACACTGGCTGTTGCAGATGTGCCTTGCACTCTAAGTGGGCTGTTAGACCTTGTGGAAATTGAACCATCGTTTGTTAAGACCTTTTCGTATTTTCTAACATTGATTAGTAGGTCGCATTTTCGTTTTCGTAGCGTTGAAGCAGTGTTGAGGCAGTCTTGTGCTTCCTGAGTAGAAAACGCGGCTAAGTCGTCTGCGAGCGTATCAAGCAGATCAAAACAAGTGGTTATCTCCTCAAAACTGAGTTTAACGTACTCGATTTCGCTTGAGTTGGCTATTTGCCTCGTTACTTCTTCCTCAAGCTCCTCGAAAGTACTGTAGCGGCGTCTCCATTGATTGAGTAGCTGTTGTAAGGTCGGCTTTGTTGGAGCCATTCAAGAAAGTAGTACAAAGAGTAGAAAATATGTATTAAAAGTTTACGAGCTCGGATGGCAGCGATCGCAAAGTAGTTCCGGTAATGAAGCTTTTATTCTGAGCTTTCTCAAGGTTTTTACTATAAGTTACGTTTAATTTTTTTGTTAAAGTCAACCAGCCAGAGGGTTAACCCGGTGGTTAATTAAACAAAGTGAGCTACAGCTCACGCAGTTATGAGCTTTTTAATTATGGTTAAGGACTAAGCGGTGAAACTTTCTTCTTTTCTTTTTTTAAGAGTTCAAATGAGTTAAAAAAATTTTGAGACTTTCAAAATTTTTGTAAAACTTTTGTAGATGTGGCTAGTAAAACCTTTTTTAGATATGGGTTTAAAGAAAACGTTTCGGAAAAATAGGCTTTTGAAAATTCGCAGCAGCTAGTTTTGGCTAGAAAGTTTTGGCTATCGGGTTTTGGCTATCAGTATTTTTTTTTGTATAAGTGGGAACCTTGTTTTTTTTTGTGTTTAGGTACTACCTTAGTACCCCGAGGATTAAAAACAAATTGACCAATTCAGCACTAAGATTTCACATTGGAGGTTGTAGATTTCGTTAAAAAAAACTGTACGAAAGCTTAGCACAATTGAAAAATCTAGCACAGTGTGGGTTTTGGCTGACAAGTACAAGCACAATGATTTTTTTTTTTGATTATGTGCTAGTTTGGGATTCACAAGTTTACAAAAACTTACGAGAATCTTGCAGATTTTAGGGTTCGGAAACACAAATTTTTGTTAAGTTTTGTAGCATGAAAATAATGAGCGTTAAACTTTAGCAGAAATGGGTTTCGTCTCTGCGATTTGAGTTTTTGAATGATAGTCTGACTATAGGGTTGAAAAGTTTGTAAGAAACTGGATCTGGCCTGAGTCTTGAAATTGAGATGTTGATGTTGAGATCCTGGGGAGTTCGAACCCTTTCGAAATGTATGTAGGCCCTTGTAGTGTTGGAGGCGAGCCCTTTTCCTGTATGTAGATCGTTGATGCAGGCCCGTTGTATGTAGGCCGATGTATATAGGTCCTGGGATGTATGCCCGTGTATTGTTGGAGGTAGGCCCTTTTCCTGTTGGAGAGAGAAAGGCTCTTGTCCCGTATGTAGGCCCTTGTCCTGTTGGAGGTAGGATGTCTTGAAGGTGAGGGGGCTGAATAGCTGAGGGGCAATGAATCCGCGCTCTGTTGCCTTGCCGACTTCAAATTCTAGTTGTGGTCGCCAGATATTCAAGACAAGTTGGTGATCATATCTTGAATGTCACTTTGTTGAAGTCAAATTTATTACTCATTAGTTAGGAACAAATCATGCTATTATTAAAAGATTTTACCGCATTTTTCTTTAATTCACGTGAGACAATTCATGTCATGAATAGTTCTTTTAAATTTTTATTATTCTTTGATTTTGGTTTTCATCACTGTTTTTCATTTTTGTATCGCAAGTGATGCGAAGCTCAGCTTCGCCTCTGCGATTATTATATCACTTTTGTTATGCGGATAGCAAATTATCTGCTGGCTTAACGCGTATCAAGGATAGTTCAACTTGCCAAAAACTGGTCCAATGGTAAATGTTTTTCCGGCTTTATAGATTTTGCTTTTTTGTTCAAACTGTTCGCGTTACTTGTAATATCAATTGTAGCACTGTGTTCTAACCTCAAATGGACAGGGGATGCATTGTTCTCGTGAGTGACTGAGACGACTGCTGTCTTGGTTCTGCTGTTGTTCTGGTTTCGATAAGCCACTGATATCTTCCGACTGTGTGCACCTCCCCCAACACCTCCTCTTTGTGTGTTCTGACTGTGCCCCAAGTCCTAGTTTGAACAAATAACTTGGGATGATGTTTTTCAGAGAGCCCGATTCAGGGGAACATGTATAAATTGCTCATATTTGTTTCGAATTGTTTTGAAAAAAGTTAATTTTGAGAAAAATTGCTAAGTAGGTCAATTAAGGCTAAACTAGCAACGGAACAAAACTTACTAAGCGGTAACAAAGCCAACCAACAACACTTGAGCAGACACTATTTGACCCAAAATATTATTTGCATATAGAAAACTGAAAACTCAAAAAAATTAGATCCACCCTCAAATACGCACATGTTTAAAACACTTTTTTGCTCATCACACAATGCAATATGAGGTCTATAAGCCAAAATAATATTAGCCCAAATATTTCAAGCCAATTAAAAGGGAAAAAAGACAATTGTACAAAATCTAAGTTGATAGTTTTGCAACCAACATAAAAATATGTTTCTGATAAAAACCGGTTTTTAAAAGGCAGACATGTTCAAATTACTACTGCTGGATGACACAAGTACAGTTCTGAGATAAAAATCCAGTAGTTACGTTGAAAACTCATTTTCTCCCCCCTCGCTAATAACAGTCTCCCCTTTGGCACATGTTCTCACAAAGTGTAGGAATAATTGGAGAGATGTCTCCTCTAAGCACGGGGGGGGGGGGGGGGGGGGGAATTGTGTGATTAAAAAATTCTAGATAGTTCGGCAGTTCAGCAACTTCACCCTTCTAGCTAGTGCGACCCGGAGTCAAACTTCCTCGGACAGTTTTTGGATTTCATGGGGGTCCTACTCAACCACTCTCATTCATATTCGAGTAGTACTTCACAAGTTATCCCATTTCCAAGGTCCAACATCATTTCTTCCGGTAAAGGACTGTTAACGCCTGGAGAAGTCGCCAAAACCAATTTACCCAACGAGTTTTTTTCAACAAGTTCACTATTCTAGCAAGTCTAGCTAGCTCAGCAACTTCACCCTTCTCACCTCTTGCATTTTATATCCAGTTCAACAAAAGGTGGGCTCATTACATAAATTCTTCTTTAACCGCGACACAGAACAAGTAATTTACCAAGCTCTTAATTAGCTAACTACTACTAAAATATTCCATAAAGAAGCCCGCGTTTCGTTACTTCAATCGATCCGTTAACTCCCTCGTCAATCTTTGCTTGACTCAATCCCAAACTAGTCAACAACTCCAACAGCGCAATTTGCACACGCAAATAATTCAATCCGCTGCTAAACTCGGCTTCATATCAGCTAAACTACTAAGAGACACAACTAACCTCGCTTTAAGCAATAGCGTCCTCTTTTAACCCTTACTTGTCGTTGTTCCCTTTTTTGGTCAAAGTCACGCCATTCTTTGTCAGCAGTCCTGGAATTTTTTGAAATTCACTCCACCGCCAATAGTTTTTATTCCACCCATCCCCTTGTCAACACTGACCAGTGCCACGTTCGATTTCTTATACCACCGACTTTTATATTCGGTTTCTTTTATCACCGATGGTTTCTTTAGTAATTTGTCACGTTTATTAGATACCCGGTATGCGGTAGTGTCACAATTCGACCAAAGCAGACAATCATACATTCTTAATCAACTAATTCCTGACCTCCGTGAACTCTAGTCCTTTAGTTCAATTAAATCACCCGATCATACTATGTTTTCTCAGTGAGCCTTCCAGGGTTTTAAATCTAAATATCTGGTTGACGTTCCGAACTGCCGAAGGTAGCGGGAGACCCTTTTCATGAGTATACAAATCAATTCATGCATTTAAAAAATCCATCTAGACTCTATTCCAATCCCGATATTCTAACTATCAGTGCAACGTTGTTCGTCTAATAGGGGTCAATTTTGCCAAAAACTAACTTCTGGAAGCCCAGAGAATATCCCGTCTACTCATATTATTTCGGAGTTTTATTTCACCTTGCCTCACTCCTCTTATTGCCAATCTCCTTTAGTCGTTTTCGGTCTAGTTGAAATTCGATTAGAAAGTGATTCACCGAGCCAAATTGAACTCAATAATTTACAAGTTCACTTTATTTAATTCCACTAATCTAACTCTATAGAAAAGTAACAATATGTTTTAAGGCCGCAAGTTTTAACGTGTCCCCTAAATGTACCTTTAATCCCTTTCATCCCTAAATGCACCTCCTTCCTACTAAATGATCACATTCTATTCCCAGTAGTTATTTCTAAAAGAAAAGTTTCACTTTCCGCTGTTTTTACTTGGGTTTACCGTGCAATTTGGGTCATAACGCCCAAGGTTGATTCATAAGGTGAACTTGGTGTCACCCGGAGTCAAACTTCCTCGGACAGTTTTAGGTTTTCAGTGAAGTCCTACTCAATAACTTTCTCTCATATCGGACTAAAACTTCCCAATTTATCCCATTTCTCGGGTCAAAAATTTTTAATTCCGGGGAAGGACTGTAAACATCGGAAGAAGTCGCCAAAAAGATTTTACTCGCACGGAGTTTTTTTTCGGTGTTCGTGTCCGGCGTCTAATGCCGCCATAAAACCAATTTGTCTTTTATCGCTCTTTGAGACGTTGTTCCCACGTGCTAATAACTTCCAGTCCAAACGTCGGATTTGATAAAAGTCTTAATACAAGATGTACCCTGTTCTTACCTATCGTATCTCAAAACTTTGGATTCATGCGTTTCTTAGGGTCTGATAAACGACTACCAAAATATAGGTGTGAGGACTGTTGCTTAGAACATAAAAATGAAAAAGGGGTCCAGGGGGTAACATACAAACTTTGGTCTCATTCAAACCGCTAGCTACCGAGTTCTGATAGTGCCAATTACACTTCTGTGAACAGTTACCACCTAGGCCAGAGGGTTTGAGGGGTCCGGATTTGTACATATTTGGTCAAATCATCTCCAGTAGCGCCAGTCTGATTTTTATTACATTTAGCCCCAGTGGTTTTGAATCTGAGGGTGGAGAGTTTGCCAATTTTGGTTCATTTTTATTTTGTTTCATTCTGGTATGAGTGAGACTAGATTTTGCAACCTTGAAACTCTTTTCGGCTCGACAACGTATTTGATGTACTAGTTAATTTATTGACAAATAAATCTTAAGCTTGGGTTACTACGGCACGTAATAAAGTAAAATCACCTATTCTACACAAAAAGGCGATGCAATAAACAATAAACAACATAGAACTTTTCGTGTGAAAAAATCATTCGAACTAGTTTGAAGCTTTGAAGTATATTATAGCACGAAAAAAAAACGAAATTTTTTCGAAATTAATTATTTAAATAGCATTTTTAAGCTCCGAATCTGTATAATTTTCAAAATATAAAAAATCTGAGCTGTCAAAAACTAGACAGATAGACAAGTTGGAAAAACTTTAGCCTGAAAGAACAAAGAGCTCATTGAAGGCCAGCAAATAAAAGAAAACTTTTATAGCCACTTTGTTTAAATTTTGCTTCAAACAAATTGCAGAACTTTGAAGCTGAAATGAGAATTTTGAACCATTCACAACTAACATCATACAATTAATTAATTGCCCAATTATTTTGCATTATCATTCAAAAAAGCATAGCCGGTTACTGTGCGAGTAGCACAGAATTTTCCGACTATAGTCGATAAAAAACTGCTAAAGAGTTATGTTTAAAATTAAATTTTTTTCTGCGTGGTGTGATAAAACGCTTTGACGTAAGACTATAATAAAGACACAGTCTAATGTCATAATAAAATAAACATTTTGAAAAAAAAAATAAAAAAACTGGAAAAAAAAATTCAAAAAAAAGCTGTTTTGCTGAATTTCAGGCTGTTTTGCTGAACATTTTTGAATATTTTGAAACTTTAGATTCCAATAACCACGCAAAAACACTCCAGAAACCCTTTAATTTATTAAACTAATGCTTTTAGGCTTAAATTGAGCATACTTAAAGTATTGTAATAGCTCTCAAAATTAAAATAAAAAACAATTTTTTTGATTGAAAAACTAGTTGAAAATGAACTTTCAACCCGTTTTTCTCAATACAGATAAACCTTTTGAAATTTTTTAAAGATCGTTCGAATCACGACTGGAAGATTTTCATTTTGGTATTTAATTAGACTTAATCTAATAATTATTTGTGGTATCAGATTTCGCGTGGAAAACAAAACAAACTTAAACACAACAGAATACAAATTTCTTCCATATTTTTCAAATGGTTCCAATAAAAAAAATTTTGAAAATTTTGAGAACACATTTTGAGAAAAAATCAACTAAAAACGTTTCGAAAACTTGAAAACGTTTCAAAAAAGTCAACAAATTGAGGCTATTATGGACTCAAAAAGAGACGTTTCAGGTAAACTTTTTTTTCACTTTTTTGAAGAAAACTTATCAAAGCGTTCCAAAAGTTTTCAGATAAACTAAGCAAGAACAAATTTCACGAAAAGTAAAAAAAAAATCAATTAAAATAAATCGTAGATACTTCTTTCGCTCAGCACAAAACACATTAATATCAGTTCCAGTACAAAATTTCTACAAGAATAAAACAAAAAGCAACGAATCAAAAACTGCAACAAAATGTTGCAAAAATATTGGAAAAAATATCAAAAAACTTGATATTTTGATGCTATTACATTGACAGAACCCCTGAAAGCAGAACAGCGATTGTTTCATATTGGACACATGAGCAAAGCTGAGCTTTGGACAACTTGCGATACAAGAATCATAGAATGAAAGCACTTTGACGCTCAAAAAGTGATAAGCAACTTCGAATGATGTACAACTTGAAGAAGGAACTGGAAAAATAAAGTAAAAATTGAACGAAATAAAAATCATCCAATTATTAAATTTTTCAAAAAACTCTTTGTGGGGCTTACTTTGATCCTTTGAAAAATAGGTGCAACAATCTTATCAATCTGAAAAGTAATTGGTAGAAATGTTGTAACTATGCACCAAAATTGAAAAAAAAAATAGAATAGCGTAAATTTTACCAAACATTTTTGGCAAAAAAGCATATTGTAAAAAGGCCTAAATAGTATTGAGAATAGCCATATAAGTTGCTAAAAGTCAACAGCATAAAATCTGACATCGAAACTTCGTTATTATAAATACAATAGTTTGAATTTTAGTTATAGCGTATACCAACAGTAACTAGTAGCCAGTAATTAAATTTTAATTTTCAGAACATTGATAAGTCAGCAGCATACTAGAATCAAAAATGATTCAACTGATTTAACTAAACTAGTTTTTAAAACGAAAAAAAAATCTAGAGTTCGATTGTGGATAACGCTTGCTAATCTTAAGCGTAACGAAAAACAAAACGCAACTAAACATTTTAAAAGTGAGTCAACGGCCAAGTGTTGTTGCCAAATCCAGGACATTGCCATTTATTTATCTTCCTTGCTGTTTTAGTTTTCACGAACCAATAGCTAAGCTTTTTCCTAATTTATAATGCTGAAGCATATATATTTTTTCAACTTAGCCCTCATTGTCATGTTTTCTGAAATTAGTTTTCTGAAATTAAATTGACAAATAGCAAAATTTTTGTTCTCATCCGAGTTTCAATCTAAATTAGGAGATTAAACTCAGAAAAGTTCGAACTGATAATCTGATATGCTGAATAGTGTTTTAGTCACATATATTATCAGATGCATATTACCAAGTCCAACCAAAAACTGCTATTGTCAAATAATGAAAAATTTATTCCCAATGCTAAAAGAGTATATTCACAAATTTAGTTACAAAATGAACTGAGGTTTGCTTTTGGTTTCCACTAAGATTAGTTAAGTCCTTCCTTTTAAATTCTGCATTTGCTTGTTATCAATTCTAGCTATAGATCACTATTGTTTACGCAATAACTGGTCTAGTTCAGAATGAAAAACAAAATTACTTTCCTCTTTAACTTGCGGAATCAGCTTACATTTGCGAAACTCTACATTTGCGTATTTCAGAGTAACCAGCTAACTTCGCTTGCTGAGGAATCCGCGATGAAACTAATGTGCAGCCGAACGTACATTGCACATATCTGTGGGCGGAAACTATAGAAACTTGGGCCTTGTAATAGCAAAAAAAAAGGAAAAATTTGAGTTAAAAACTGAGTTATTGCTGCTTTTATAGTACTCGCTATCCAAACTAAATGCAAGCTGTGGTGGCAGCTTCAAACAAAATTAGCGACTATTGGGTATTTTAAATGTTTGTAGGACAAAGTCTAATTGCATAAAAGGTTGATACAAGGTGTCTCAAGAAATTCTGATACAATGCTCCACGAGAAGGCCCCCTAAAAAAACAAATCGCAAAACTCTGGAAAATTAAATAAGTATTTGCATTCAAATCTAGCACGTTGCGCGGATAAATCTTGTGCGGCAATTCAAATAGTCCACTAACCATGGATTTTTTCCGCGTCTATTCACTACAAACTTCCCACAAAACGATTTTGGCTGGCGCATTTTTTGCAACTTTTTTTTTTACTACCAACACGAGAGCTGCTCAGAGAAGAGCAATTTATAAATTTGAGAGAAATTTAACGCGCTTTCTCATCTATTTGCTTGAGAAATTTGAAGCAAAACGAAAACGTTGCTCAATGTCAAATTACCTTGTACACGTGAAAATGGTCCAAAAGTCAATGCAAAGTATTAGGATTTTGTCGTATGAAAAAGCGTAACAATTTTGTGAAATTTGCGTAAAATTTATGTGATCCATTTGTGACACCCTGTATTTCACAAAATTTAACACGAAGGCAAAGTTCGCTTCGCAAACACAAGGAAAAAAATGGCAGAAGTTAGCTCTTAAAAGGTAAAAATACGAAATCAAGAAAAAAAAGAAAAAAAAGAGAAAAAAATTACTTGAGCTAGTTTTTTACCGGAGCATAACCCCGATCTGAATATTATTACGTCTGCGCCATGGTCACTTGACAGTCAATAAAGCTAGCCACCAATAAAGCAGACTTTTAAATGCCACGGATGGTTTTTTGCCAATGCTATGCCGCAGTGAAATTGCTACCAAATGAGCTTTTTTTGTTAGTTCGGTTGAAAAAAAGGACTTCGTAATATGACACTACGCTCGCTAGCCCGATTGCATAATCAGAATGAGAGTTATACTTGCATTATTTCCATGTGCGTAAACGAAATGGCTTTTTACCATGTAATTGCAGGGTTAAAAACAGGTTGCAAGACTTGATAACCTCCTAAGACTTGTTGCATTTAAGTAAACGAGTAAATGTTTTTGTTTGCTTTTCTCGAATCAAATGGAGTTTTAGTGTTCCACTTGCATTTGAGGGTGTGTGGTGTTGGTGGTGTTGTGGTCCGCGGGTGGATGTTGCGGACATGGCAGTGGCCGCCCGGGCACTCCTACTTCTCGCACTTCTGCCCTGTCTCGTGTTGAGCACAAACTGGAACTCACTCGTCATGTAGCTGAAACTCTCCTTCTCTGGCGACTGGTTCCGAAGCTCTGAAAAAAAAGAATTTATGGCACCAGGGGCGGATCTAGGATTTTCTCGAAGTGGGGGGGGGGATGATTTTCAAAAATTTTCTAAGTTTTCGTCGACTTATTTTTTAGAACGACCAAATTGATTTTCTGTACTCTCCCAAATCACTATAAAGACCACATGTAGACCAAATTTTCTACGCCGCAGGCAAACTTTTGAAAAAACTGGCCAAAAAAGGCGTTTTTTTAGGCACTTTTTGGAAAATGTTGAGCAAAAAATCGCGTTTTTTCGGCGCGCGCTCAACACCCAAAATTAGTATGTTTTAGAAAAGTTTTAAGGTCAGCCAGCGAAGAATGGATTTCTGAAAAAGTACAAAGGGGGACCCATTGGGTCGGCAGGGGGTCGAATCCATCCCTGAAGGAAAAAACGCCCGCACCCTCACCCCAAACACCCCACCCCCCCCCCAAATCCGCTGGTGCATGGCACTCTGTTTTAAACTACCGCCAAGAAAAGCTATTGCTCGCATCTCAGCAATGAAAAAAGAGCAGTGGAAAAATAGTTCGAGACCCTTAGTATCCATTTAACGCTAGGTTGTTGTACTCAAGATAAATCTATGAAGTGTCTCCGATAAATGGATAAATCCCTCTCTGAGCTTATTTTCACGCTATTGGCAATTTTAAGACAAAAAAACTTTTAAGCATTTTTGATGGATGATATGAAACAAATTTTACGGTTTTTGATGCTTATTTCATCTGAAGTTAGTGTTTGCCGGTGGCTAAAAAATCGCAGTCTTTTGAGGGTTGGCAAGGAATCATCAAGTAGGTCAAGCTTTCTCCGATCGATTTAAGTTTGAATCAAAGACTACTTGAGCCAATTTGGAATGTTGAATGAGTTTAAAGCTATTGATGGCAACCCAGATTTCGAAAAACAATATTTAACACTATCCAAGAGTCGAAAAAAACTGGTCTGAGCTTTTTGTTGGATTTTTTTTGCTTAAGTGAGGCTTAATTTACAAGATGACTTTACTTCTTTCTCCTATTTGTGCAAATAAATGCTTCATTCATAATTTCGAAAGCAAAATATAATCTGAGTGTCAATAAATTCAGCCAGAAGAAAAATTTCAACAAAAATTTCAGTGTCTGTTGAATGGGAAATATACTTTTTCTTATAGTTGCAGTTTTACTGGTAGAATTTACTGAATTTTTGGGTTGAATAAGGTATCCCTTATTCATCTGTCGATCCACACAATCTTTGTTAATTTTTTCATGACAGTAAAATTTAATGTGTTTGATGCTGCTGTTTTTAAATATTTTCCCAAAAACAGCCTGGCACAAGGGTAAAATCATTCATCGTTTTGCTTGATACTTTTTTTTCAAACTCACACTGATCAGTTTCATAGAACTGTTAAGATCCTTTTTCAGCTTTTTGATCTTGAAAGAAGCGCCTATGTTTTAAAAATGAATGGTACTTGAAAAAGTTTCAAAATTTTGCTCTGTTGAAGCGTTTGTAAAAATATCAATTCATATTCATTTTCAATTTTTAAATGATATTTCTCAAATGCTCTAAAGTTTATGGCGCCCATGTATACTTCTTTTGAGGGGGTCAAAATAGTCCAAAAATGCCTAAAAACGTTTTTTGACAGTTTTTTCTATTTGCTTGCGGCGCAGAAAATTTGGTCCGAAAAGCGATTTGGGAGGGCTCAGAAAATCAATTTCGTCGACCTTAAAAAAAGGTCGCCAAAATTTTCGCCCCCCCCCCCCCTCCACTTCGAGAAAATCTTAAGTCCGCCTCTTAATAAATCACTGTCTTACCCATTGTGACGACCACTTTGATACACAAGAGGAAACAGCTGATGCCGAGGAGGGATGCAGAGAAGTAGGACTGGAGTACTCTCGATCCCCCCACATTCGAGAGGAGGGTGTTGAGGAAAATTAGGGTGCAGTAGGGCCACACACACAAGTAGAGGGTACTCACATCTCCCAACACAAACACCTCCACCACGAATAGTCTACAATATAACACAATTAGAAAGAAAAAAAAAGATATGCGTATAGGAGTTGAGCTTTTTTCCGCTAAAAGCCCACGCTAAACCCCCCTCCCTCCCCCACAACCGACACCAGGAGCGGATTTAGGGGGGGCGGATGCCCCCCCCCCCTCAGGGATTCGACCCCCTGCCGACCCAAAGGGTCCCCCCTTTGGTACTTTTTAAGAAATCCATTTTTTGCCGACCGACCCTAGAATTTTTTCTAAAGGCGCCTTTGGCGCCAATATATACTAACTTTGAGGGGGAGCGCGCGCCAAAAAACGCGATTTTTTTGTCAAAATTTTTCAAAAAGTGCCTAAAAACGGCTTTTTTGACCTGTTTTTTCAAAAATTTGCCTGCGGCGCAAAAAATTTGGCAAAAACAGGGACCTTTTAGTGCTTTAGAAGAGCTCGGAAAATCAATTTGGTCGACCTAAAAAAAAAAAAGGTCGTCAAAATTTTCGAAAAATTTTTGAAAATCCGCTCCCCCTCAAAAAAATCCTAGATCCGCCCCTGACCGACACCACCAGCAAAGAAACTAAAGAACTAAAGCTCCTCCATGACTTCAAAACTAGCGGTGAGGCGGGGCTACCATAGTTTTTGATACCATGCATGGGGCTAAAACTCGCCAAAAAGCAAATGGTTTGTAATACTTATGTTGAAAAAGTTAATCAAAACTGCACATTTCAGATATAAAGGATGACTAGATTTCGTAAGTTAGATCGGAGACAATGGTTTAGAGGTCGGCCGAAGGTGACAGACAACTCCGAAGGTCACTACCTGTTAGTACGAGAACTAGATAAGAAAGATTGACATTCGATTGACAGTATAAATGAATAAATGACTCAACTACAACTGAAACGGACTCGTGAACTGATTTAATCACAGATGACACTTACGTGATGAGGACGAAGAGGGAGATGAGAAATATGACAAGATCAGAGAGGAGGACTGAGAGACCCACAGTCTGGTGGAGAGAGAGTCCCAGGTAGAAGATGAAGTCAGTCACTCGGAGTACGAGCCACACCCCCACTGCATTGTGGCCCAGATACCTCTCACACACACTTACCCCACTCCAACACCACAGGAACGAAGCCTACACAAACAACTGCAATATTATCGAGCCGAAAGCCGACAAATCGAACCGAATGAATACTGCCTGGAATTTGTTAATAGGTAAGTGAGACAAAGGGATTCTAATCTAGAGCAATTATTTCAATAGATTAACACATTTTGTCTTTTGAAACAGTTGTGTTGAATGAGTGTCTAAAAGGGTTCGAATGGTCAAAAACTTCTTTTAATTTTGGTGTTTGAATGATCTAAGACAGCCTGCATAATATCTAATGTTTGGAAGCTTAGGTAGCTTGGAAAAAGCTGTAGGTATTTAAAAGTTTCTTTGCTATCATTGATAAATCTTCAAGAATTATTAAGATTTTGGCGAAATTTTCAATATGACTGGACCCAGGGGCGGATTTAGGGGAGGGCGGGGGGGCGGACGCCTCCCCACCCCCCTTTCAGGGATTCGACCACCTGCCGACCCAAAGGGTCCCCCCTTTGATACTTTTTCAGAAATCCATTTTTGGGCGACCGACCCTAAAATTTTTCTAAGGGCGCCTTCGGCGCCAATATATACTAACTTTGAGGGGGAGCGCGCGCCAAAAAAAAACGCCATTTTTTGGTCAACATTTTTCAAAAAGTGCCCAAAAACGGCTTTTTTGACTGTTTTTTTTTCAAAAAATTGCCTGCGGCGCAGAAAATTTAGCCAAAATTGGAGGCAAAAAAGTGCTTTGGGAGAGCTCGAAAAATCAATTTGGTCGACCTTAAAAAAAAAAAAGGTCGTCAAAATTTTCGAATTTTTTTTGAAAATCCGCCCCCCCCCCCCTCGAGAAAATCCTAGATCCGCCCCTGACTGGACCTGTGACTTTTGGCGCATTTATGAAATTTACGTCTTTCTATCTCTACTTTAGTGGCATAGCAAAATTTTACAAAAAATTGAGAAAAGAGCGAAAAGGACCGAGGAGGGGAGAGGGTAATATATTGGGGAAGAGGGAGAGAGCGATGCATGCAGGGGCGGATCTAGGATTTTCTCGAGGGGGGGCGGATTTTCAAAAAATTTTCAAAAATTTTCGAAAAAATTTGTCGACCTTTTTTTTTAGGTCGGCCGAATTGATTTTTCGAGCTCTCCCTAAGCACTGTTTAAACATTTTGAAAAAACAGGCCAAAAAGGCGTGTTTTTAGGCATTTTTTGGAAAATTTTGACCAAAAAATTGCGCCTTTTCGGTCGGCCAAAAAGTACTAAAGGGGGGACCGTTTGGGTCGGCAGGGGGTCGAATCCCCTGAAGAGGAAGCGTCCCCCCCCCCCTAAATCCGCCCCTGGGTGCATGTATGTTTTGACTATTACTTGATTTGATTAGCGAATAATAACTAGAAGGAGCATTGAATATATGACTTGCGTGTTGGTTTCTGACGAGTGAATTGAACTGGTGTCTGAGGGAGAGGAGGAGGAGGAAGGAGGCCAGTCCACTCACCAGACAACTTCCCCACTCCACGCCACTGTACACTACACCAACCACCACAATGAAACATTCGAATCAAGTATCAAGTTAAACCAACCCACGCCAACGAGAACAACCCCTGAATTAACTTCCACTCCTAAACCACTTGAGCAACGAGGATTTTATCTCGTATTAGCCCAAGTATTATAAAAATTGGAAAACTGAAAACATTCGGACAACGAAAAATCATTTTTCAAATTTTCCAGATCTACTTTTAGACGTATGTGGTGCCTTTTTTCCATTGCCTCCTAATTTTAGTTTGATTTTATTGGGCTTGTACTAGTTTATTTTAATGCTTCACATTCGTTTTTTGAGCTTTCTGCTCCCTCCCCTCAGGGATTCGACCCCCTGCCGACCCAAAGGGTCCCCCTTTGTACTATGTTGAGATATCCATATTTGGTGTGGGACCCTAAAAATTTTCTAAAGGCGCCTTTGGCGCCAATATATACTTACTTCAAGGGGGGGGAGAGCGTGCGCCAAAAAAAAACCCAATTTTTTTGGTCAAAATTTTCTAAAAAGTGCCTAAAAACGCCTATTTTGGCCTGTTATTCAAAATTTCGCCTGCGGCGCAGAAAGTTTGACCAAAACAGGGTCTTTTAAATGCTTTGTGAGAGCTCAGAAAATCAATTCGGTCGACCTAAAAAAAAGGGCCGACAAAATTTTCGAAAATTTTTGAAAATCCGCCCCCCCCCCCCTCCTCGAGAAAATCCTAGATCCGCCCCTGGTTCCTATTATTTCCCTACATTCAAGGCTGAAGTTTTTTGGATGCTTATGTAAACATACTTTTTGCGTTATTATGTAAATTCTGTTTTCAAAAATTGGGATTCAAAATTAATTATTTCGGCAATTTAAGGTCAATTTTGCAAGGATTATAGGTTCAATTTGAATTTCCAAATTTTCTCATTGTTCCTGGAATGGGGGTTAATTGTGTGACCTGTGAAAGAGTGTGCAATTTCGAGTGCTATGGCCCCGTTGTAGACTAGCAGGTGGGATGTCCATGAGCAGAACACTATGTGGAACTCCCCCATGCCCAGATGTCCCCAACTCAACTTCATCTTGCAACACAGGAAACACTGCCACGCTATCTGCACAGAGAAAAGTAGCAAAAATATTTTTAAAAAGAAGAAAAGAAATAAATAAAGAAATAAATAAATAAATAAAGAAAGAAAGAAAAAGAGAAAGAAATGATTTCTCCATAATCGTATAAGTACACATACAACAAGGAATTTTAAACATTTTTTGAGAAGACCTAAAGTTAATTGTTGTATAAATAGCAAAATAGAGTGGATAGACAAAATATACAATACGCAACCACCTATCGAGAGTCTGTTCAAAACATAGACAAATAGCAATCTAACAAACTTCATTTCCTTAAAGGATTCAAAATTTTTTGAATCTCTCTGTTCCGAAGACTGTCCAAGAAAGTAAAGCAGCTATAGTATGGGTTTCGTTTTTTTTTCTGCGCGCTCGCACCAATCTCATAAAACTTCAAAGGAGGTCTGTGAGGTTTTTTTGACGCATTTCTTGAAACCGGGATTTGAAATCCAAAACTTACTGCTGAAAGTTTTTCAGGGACAAGAAAAACGGTCCAGAACTTTTCGCTGTCCATTCTCAATTTCGATTTTATCGCTAACAGAATGTGTGGTTCAGCATCATTGGCACACTGATGTCTTTCTGCATTGTTCTTACATATTGCTTCTCTCATATGTTTCTTGCCGATAAAGGTCGCTGATGACCTACCGATCTCACACTGATATTGGTGCAAATCTTTCACACATTCTCTACTGCGCTTATGAAAAATTTAAGTTGAGTTTTATTCATGAAATTTATCAAGTCATTATTTTTTTTATTCCTGCAGTGCCAATTTAAATTATCCGGACAAATTGAATCAAAACTACAAATTTAAACGTGTTTTTCGCAAAATGATGACAGAAATATGAAAACCATTTTTGCTTCAAATTTTATCAAAAAATTTGTGGTGCAATTTGTTTCGAAAATTTTGTGTCCGAAAGTTTACCCCAAAAACAATCATTTTTAGCTGTGTTCATTCAATCAGAAAATACTCCAAAACTATTTGTAATCGGATCTACTCCGGTTGTACCCCAAGTTTGGTACAGCTTTCTGTGTTAGTGGAGACCAGAAACGGGGGACTGTGTTCTACAGAATCCCCTGATGTTGAGAAAGCTATTTAAGGAAAATGGGCTTTCCCGAAGTTGCCACGAATGGTAACCGCCACAATGCTTTTAGCACTGTGGATCCTATGATGTAATCTTAGGAAGGGATAAGTTAGTGTGACACTTCCTCGAGTGGTGTAGTCCTTTGCGGTGGGGTTCGCAGTAACCGGATCTACCCCGGTGTTTCCTTGGGATTTGGTCTGAGCTTTTGAGCTGTCGGGCAGGTATTTGTACTTCCTATTACCTGCGCGAGTATTGGATCACGTGCTTCCAGTATGTCACCGACGGTTCATCAAACGAGACCATTTCTGCGAACGTCACACGCCGCATTGCTCATTGCTCAAAGATGTATGTGCGAACCTTGGGGAGCCTTGCTTCGGCAAACGCAAGCCTTGGGTGTCACTCGACATTTCTGTGTTACGCATGCCCCGGCTGGATACGGCCTTGAAAGCCACCAGACCAATTGCCATTAGTTGTCTCACATGTCTTCGGATAGAGTCGACTTTTGGTACAACTTTCTGTGTTAGTGGAGACCAGAAACGGGGAACTGTGTTCTACAGAATCCCCTGATGTTGAGAAAGCTATTTGTCGCAAATAGGCTTTCCCGAAGTTGCCATGAATGGTAACCGCCACAATGCTTTTAGCACTGTGGATCCTGTGATGTAATTTTAGGAAGGGTTCATACCCGGTGATTTTAAAAAGCTCGGATTCGTAAAGGTGGGTAGCTAGGCAACTTGCTACCCTCTAAGAATAGTGCATCTTGGTGAAACTAACTCTCAGCGATGGTCATTTATGGCTATGAGAATACTGAGGACCCCAAAAACAATCATTTTTGGCAGTGTTTAGTCAATCAGAAAATACTCCAAATCTATTTGTTTGTCTACTGACAAAACTATATCACTGCAAGCCTCTTTTGTAGACCACCAAAATTTAAGAAGGAAACAATTTTCTCAGTTTTATTCTGAAAACATTTATTTTCGTTTCATAGCCAAAAATTGACTTTTTATATAAAAAACAACATTTAAAAAAAAAACATTTTTGAAATTTTTGCACACAATTTTGGCGATTATGCTTTTCTTAAATATTGATAAGCTACATAAGAGGCTTGAAGTGATATAGATTTGTCATTCAATAAACAAACCAGTTCTGAGTGTTTTTAATGACTAAACAAGGACTAAATGATCGTTTTTGAATAAATTAACATTTTGGGGTAAAGTTATGGGCACGAAATTTAGACTACAAATTGCACCATTTGATTCTCATAATCTTTAAGCAACAATTTTTTTATCAATTTTTGTCTATATCTGTCCCATTTTAAGAAAAACGCGTTTTACTTTTCAAAATTCAATCAATATTTTCGAATTAATTAAATCAGCACTGTATTCTCTCACTTTCACAACTTTCGCAACAAAATTAACGGATTTTTTATGACAATTAATGTTCCGACTTTCGTAAAGAAGTAACTCCTAATGCTCCGATATCTCTTCTTGTTCTCACTTTCTTAACAAAAGTAAAAGCATATTTGGGACAATTAACGAGCGATATTTTTAGCGCTAATAGCGCTTAAGCGGAGATTTAATCCGTCTTAGAAATCGTTCCAAATTGGTTGATGGAGGCTTGTTCGCCGTAAATTATTTGTTACTAGGAGCAAAATCTATCTTTTTGTACTTTTTCCGGCGTGTGTTGTGATGAATTTCAAAAAAAAAGATCTCAAACTTACAAAAGCTTCCTTTTTTATTACATTCAAACTTTTTCAAGTTATTCTTGTTCCATAGACCTTAAAAGGCAGCCAGAATTTTCAGGGCTTCGCCCTGATCCGAAAAATTTTGTTCAATTTATTTGAATTGACGAATTTAGTCCTAGTTTTGACTCCTCTTTTTCAGGAGTATTCGAAGGTACCACATATCGGACAACGATGAAAAACATCTAATCACGTATTTCTTGACCTTAAAATTTTCTTTGGCATAAAAGAAAAAAAAAAGAATTTTTTCATTAACTTTAAAAGCTGTGGTTTTTCATTATTACTTTGCAATGTGTGTTGTGATTGGAATATCTATGCTATTGGCACAGCACGTTCGTTACTCCGGCATTCTAAGAGAAATAATAAGTGTTTATGCTAGGCCTAATTTTTTACTCAGACAACGAGCAGATAACTATGAGGAACTCTCCGATGCCCAGATGTCCCCAACTCAGCTTCACCTTGCAACACAAGAAATACTGCCAGGCTATCTGCAACGAAAAAAGTAGCCAAAATATTTATAAAAAAAGGAAATAAATAAAGAAAGAAAAAGAGAAAGAAATAATTTCTCCATTATCGTATAAGTACACATACAACAATGAAATTTACACATTTTTTAAGGAAACTTAAAATCAAATTTGTTTTGCAAAAACTAAAATGGAGTAGATAGACTGAAAGCACAATGCGCACCCACCTATCGAGAGTCTACCCGAAGTATAGACAAATAGCTGTCCAATAAAGAACTTCATTTCTTTAAAGAATTTAAATTATTTCGAATCCTTCAGTTCCGAAAGCTGTCCAAGAACGTAAAGCAGCTATAGTATGGGTTTCGCTTTTTTTCTGCGCGCTTGCACTAAAGTCATAAAACTTCATGGGAGGTCTGTGAGGTTTTATTTGACGCATTTCTTGAAACCGGGATTTGAAATCCGAAAACTGCAGCTATAAGTTTCTCAATGTCAAGAAAATTGGTCCGAACCTTTTCGCTGTCCAAGCTCAATTTTGTTTTTATCGCTAGAAGATTGCGTGGTGCAGCATCATAAGCACTCATATGTCAATCTGAGTTACATCTTACTTATTCGTTCTCTAATTGTTTCATTGTCTAGCAAGCTCGCTGACGACGTGCTAATCTCAGACTCACATTAGTGCAAATCTTTCACACATTCCCAGAACTTTTTTCATGAAAGTATTGTTCCGGCTTTCGTAAGGAAAGTAACAGAATATTTGTGCTCCTGGTGAATTTTTTCTTTAGTCAAATTTCGACATTTAAACTAGTCATTTTTAACGAACGTTTTTTTGTTATTCAAAAGATACTGTTGTCTTGAGCCTAAATTTGAAGAGTTATTTCACCTGTGATCATTTTTCCTTAAGTTAAGGGGGTTTAAATATTGGCCAATTTTGGACAATTAACACGCGATATATTTCGCGCTATTAACGCGTAAGCGGAGATTTAATCCATCTTAGAAATCGTTGGGGGAAAACAGGGGAAAAACAATCTTTTATCATTTATTTTAAAATTTGTTGTTTTTGATCAAAATTTTGCAATGCGTATTGTGATTGGAATATCTATGCTAAATGCGCAGCACGCTTGTTGTTCGGACAATCAAAGAGGAAAGTCAAGTTTTTATACTCGGCCTGGTTTTTAATCGGACCAAACTCAGGTTTAATCCTTCAACCAAGGTAGCAGCTACTAAAATTAAAATAAAAAACATATTTCAAGTGTAATCATTTTTCTTAAAGGAATGCGGTTTTTTGATTTGTGCGCGCTTTTAAAGACTTATCAATAAAATGGTGGACGAAATTAACAAGCTACCTTCCCCCATCCAAACCAACCAAGTGAACATCTTCAAACTGAATATGCTAGGTGCTGCGTGTAAAGTGCCTTTTTTCGATCGGTTGAAAATTTAACCCAATTTTAAGGTAATTTACTTTAAGTGTTCCCTATAAAACTCAAAAAATAACATTTACAAGTTAATTTTGACGGCGATGAAGAATAACAGCAAAAATCGCAAATTAGGACCAAGTGAATTAATTTCATCATAAATAAAGTTAGGGGGAGATTACTCACTTGGATAAAAGTAATATTTTAAAGCCAATCAGAATTGAGCATAACGCTTGCAGGCCTTACTGCTGGAATTTGTCAAATACTTTTAGGCGACATTGTTCACTTGGGGTA